ACTATAATCCAGAATTCTCCAACTCAGACCAGGAAGTACATTCAGTCTTTCAAGTCTGCACAATCCATCAACACATTAAATACAACTCTCTCTTTAGACTCCCTGGGACATCTCACGATGTGTCACTCCAAGCCCTCCAGCTGGGGCAATTCTCCATCCTGTTACATTCTCACATTTGGTTCTAGTGACCCAGAGACTTGGGCAGGCTCATCCCTCCCCAGTCTTCAGCTCTCTCTGCTTCAGCTCAGACCCGGGGTGAAAGTGGGCCGGTGAGGTGTACTGGTAAGAAGTCGGTACCGGCCCATACGCAGCCCACGTTAAAGCGCTGCCACGGCAGCGCTTTCACATTGCTGCCCCCTTTGCCTCCTCTATCAGCGGCCCCTGATAGAGGAGGCAGCACTTTAACATCATTGCCCCTTTTGCCGCCCCCTCCCCAGCCATCGACACCGGGGGAGAGGCAAAAGGGGCAGCTGCCCCGGGGCCGGCGATTTAAAATGGCCCCGAGGTGCCGGCTGCCGCCATCACTACCACAGCAGCAGCCGGAGCGCCAGGCCCTTTTAAATCACTGCCGGAGCCCGGGCAGCGGGAACCAGACAGCACGGATGGGCTGGCTGAGGAAGGCTGACCTCCCAGACCCGCCCCTTCTGCCTGAGGCCCCGCCCCTTCTGAGGGCCAGAGCCGGCCCCCATACCGGTAAGAATTTAATATTACTTTCACCCTTGCCCCAGAGATCCCCCTCTGCAGCTCTCAGCCCTCTCTAGAAAATGGCTGTCAGGTCAGGAAAGTTTGTAGGTGACACCCACCCCACTTGCCACCACCTGCCTGCCTTCACCAGCCTGATCTGGCTCTGCTGCTCAACTAGGGAAACATTCAGTGCTCCCTCCTTCAGGTATATCCCCTCCCTGCAGCTCTCAGCCCATGTCTTCTGCTAAGCACACTGTACTTCTCTAAAAACCCCCAGCTTGCTCCCTGAACTCTAGTTCTGCACTCTATAGTCTTCCTGTTCTCTCTCATTTATAACTCTTAGGGGCAGACCCATCCTCCTTATTCCATAAAACTAGAGAGGACTTGGACTGGAACAGGAGCGCTGGGCGCAATTTCATTTAAGGGGCTAGCTACCCCGTTACCGAGCACTACATTGGCTGGGGGAAAATGCCTTCAACTGTGATGTGGTTTGACTCTTATGGTGCTTTTTACTTCATAAAAGAAATTCTATCAAGAGGGGAAAGTTGTTTTGAACTTGTTCTATTTATTGACTTGTTACTTCTTGCCTGGTTCTTTCAATTTTGACATTTATGCCGTGCATCGGCCATTGTGTGGCATATTAATAAAGAGTAACACTTGAAATATGAGCGTCTATGTCCTGATATAAAATGAACTACCCAAACAATATTGCACATTACAAAGATATTGGTGTCTACACCATCTTCCAGAGAGACAGTAACAAAACCAGAGAAAATCATTGTGATGCTAAATTTTGATTCTAGTATCTGACATGTTAGTTTGCAAATATAAATACTTAGAATAAGAAATGCATGTCATGTTCAACAGTCAGCACAAATGGGAACAAGCAGGGCTGCAACTGTGAGAAAATCTTTCAGAGCCTTGATTTTATTCTTCAAAGGGGAATCTCCTGCTAGTAGGAATGTATGCTATAAATAAATAAAAAAAATAACACTGTCTAATCTAACTCCCCTTAGAGCTGAAAGTTCTATAAAACTTCCTAAAGGTTAACAGTTTCTTTCAGGACAAGTAAGGCAAAGTATTACAGTGCAGTGACTTTTTCACTTCTGTGTGTCAATACAGCAAATCAGAACAGGTACACATGGGATGGCATCTGCTACCAAGTACTGCTGTAGCAAGGTCTTGGTGACTTGCTTCCTCCTTTGAAAAACAATAACGCTGTCACGGAGAAGCCTTTTCTGCAGAGATGGCCTCAGGCACCCTTTCCCCTTTATGAGCTATCATTGGCCTTCTGAAGAATCATCACCATTAACCAGAGAGGAACAAACTTTAAATTACCACAGGACGTGATTCCTGCTTTGCCAACACTCATCAGCAATATGCAACAGCAAGATGGAGTCAGAATGATACCAGATACAAGTTTTCTGTCAGAGGGCCTGATCCTGAATGCAGAGCATCTGTAACTCCCACTAAAACTGAGTATCACCATCCCCAAAAACACTATGATCAAGATTGAGAAAGGGAGCACAGCCCATTTCTTGTGATCTTATGAGTATTGGTAAAAATTAAAAATTCACAAAGCTTTTATGCCGGTTTGTACTGTCTTACAGGGAAATCTCCCAGGAAGCCTCAGGACTTAGAGACCCCAAAACCCATCCATTAACTGGGAGATAAAAACATATCCCATTGATCTAGGAGTCTGAGTTTTTACTGTCGGGGGTTCAGATCCAACAGAACTTGGATCCAAAGATGTATCCTGGGGGAGGAGCATGACCACTGGAGAAGCATGGGACCAGGAGGCACAGGAGGTGTAGGCACCTTTGGTGGTTCTGTCCACCCTCTGTTGTTTCTTGAGTTTGAATTTAGCATGTTATTGTGTTATGCATTATGAGGCATGATCTGAGATGCCCCATAATGCATAGCATGTTAGCATATCAGATTCAAACACTAGAGGTAGCAAATGACAGGAGGGCAGTGTATGAGGCCTACCTTTGAAGAACCAAAGCGTCACAACTTGAAGCAGCTGCAGTGACACTTCTAACCCCCTTATCCGAGGAAAAAAATATTGTCCCCCACACCCGTGAGCTCTATAAATGGTAGTGGTGATGACTGGATAGAGCATGAGCGCCCACTTGCCTCCCAATATGAGGCTGCTTTCATGGTTTAACTCTATCCTATTTGTTTGACCTTTTGGTTTTCTACTCTTCAATCCACTTTATTATTTATATTCTCTTTATATTACTTCTATTTTAATCTCAGAAGGATAATCAGAGCTGTATAGTATTTTGGGTATTTTCACACTGTGCTCTTTGGTTATGGAACTTTATTTATATACTACAATCTAAGAATCACCATATATTATTTTTTGGAGAGGATCTTCAAGAAATCTATGTCATTTGATAATAAATGACCAGTAATAAATGGTACAATGAAACACAAAAACAAGGAATACATAGCTATGTTTGACCAAAAATAGATTGCAGAGTTGATTTTATCAGCATTAATAATCATTGGTGCCATTTCTCTTATATAGTGCCTTGGTGACAAAAAAGCACAGAAAAGAAACAATATATTAATAATTCTGCAGATATGCTCTGAGTATTACTGTTCTTGAAAGCAGTCTGGAAAATCCTGCTCTGTAACTAAAATCTTGAAATGCTGAATGTACATTTATTATTTTCCATTTTAGAAGTCTGTAGATCACTTTATTTCCCATTTTCATTATTTATACAAAATTCTCAGTATTAATTATTATGAACCTGATCCTGCAACCAGATCTGCAAAGATGGATAAAATTGCACAATTAGAGTATAAAATGTTATCATTAGTTATAAGTGACTGAAAATAGAGGAATTTATGAAGGATTATAACAGGGATCCTTTCCTTCTCAGCCCTCCCTATACACAATATCCAGAGGTTCACTCTCAACCTGAATCTAGAAGTGCAATATATTAACATGTAACAAGCTTTAAAAAGGAACCACAAAAGACTTACATAGGATAATCATATCCCATCAAAATCAGTGCTGTGCCCCTTGTCCTTGACCTAGCCTGTGATAACCCACCCATTTCCATGAGATGGTATGAGGATGAAGTCATTTAAGTCAATGGGACTCCACCAGGGCATAGGATTCACTGAAGGATTGAAGTCAAAGATTCTGAAAATGCAAACACTTGTGCCTGTGCTTAACTTTACTGCTAGCTGTAGTCCTGTTTTCAGTGGTAGTGAAGTTAAGCTCATGCATAAGTGTTTGCAGGATCAGGGCCAAAGTTAGTAAAAATAGCTAGAATATTTACAAAATTCTCTTTTCCTTTCTCTGGCCCAAGTTTCCAGCCTGGACTGCACAAATACTTCTAATAGGCAAGCAGGTGAAATGGTGGGCTTTCTAAAAGATGCCACACAAAAACAAGCTTAAATATTTTTTCTTTTCAAGCAATGTCTTCTTTAAAATAATAATGTAGTACTTTTTATCTTTAGATCTCAAAGTGCTTTACAAGATAGGTCAGTACCATTATCCCCATTTCACAGGTGGAGAAATTGAGACACAGAGAAGTGAAGTGACTTGTCCAAGGTCACCAAGCAGGTCAGTGGCAGAACCAGGAATTGAACCAAGGTCTCCTAAATCCCAGTCTGGTGCCCTTGTTTGCAGATTTTCAAGTAACGCTATCAAAGTGTCAATGCAGAAATTGGCCTCAATCCTACAACTGGAAAAACAGGGCTCTCTATGGGCACGGGGCTCAGACTCTGCAGTTCCAGCTGGAGGACTAGGGTAGTGCCAGTAGGTTTCGGGAATCGTAGGAGGAGGTGTTTCCTTGTATATGGTACTTGTGCATCTGGGAAAGCTACAGACAGGAGCATTGCAGTGGGGAATTTGGGATACATTTCTTAACTTCATTCAAATGCATGGGACTACGGAGGAATAGACAACTTTTTTAAATGGGGAGGGAGACTCTAGAGTTAAAAAGGAACAGAACGGCTGCTGAATATCACTCTAATGAGGAGCCAAAGTTGGTCAGGTGATAGCTTTCATCATTGGCCCTTTGGCTGGAGAGCAAGCCAAGCCTTCAGGCTGCCCAGGGCTCTTCCTGGGGTGACCAATCACAGCTATTCCCTGTCTCTCTGATCTCCTGGGGCCAGCCCTGCTCTAACAACCCTGCAGCTTTTGTCCTATGACTACACGGGTCCACTTGTAATGAAGTGACACTAGTTTCCAGTCTCCCCCACAGTGTTTCCTTTGCTGGTTTGTGCAGTCCCGAATGCCTGGGGGCTCTTGGCTCTCCAGGCCTGTGGGCGAGGAGAGCTCTGAGGAGGGAAAGGCTCGTTTACTTTCCAAAGAGCCGGGGCCTGTGCCCTCCCTCTGAAGACAAACTGCGGCCCTGGCAGAGTCAGGCCGTCTAAGCGTGAGGGCTGGCTCCAGCAGTGAGCCTGCCTGCGCCCCCCGCGCCCGGCCAGCGCCCAGAGCGCCTCTCCCGGCCGCTGGCGCGCTCCCTAGGCAGCCGCCTGCCGGCCGGCCCCACAACAGCAGCCAGCCAGCCCGGAGCAGCAGGTGCGCGGAGCCGGAGCGGGAGCGGCGGCCGGGGCGTCCCCAGCACGCCGCAGGAGGAGCATGGCTGCCCGCTATGACCGCGCCATCACCGTGTTCTCCCCGGACGGGCACCTCTTCCAAGTGGAGTACGCCCAGGAGGCCGTGAAGAAGGGCTCCACGGCTGTGAGTGCGCCCTGGGCAGCCGGTCCCCGCGGCAGCGCCCGCCCGCCCTGCCTCCCCGGCGCCTTCTCGCTGGGCTGCCAGCGGGGAAGAGAGAGCCCCGTGGCAACTGACCTGCCCCCAGAGTGAGGGTGGGGAAGGAAAGGAGGCTCCCCATCTCCTCGGGGTGTGATAGGGAGAGACCCCTATGGGGAGGAGCTGGAGAAAAGAGAGACTCTCCTCCTCTGGGGAGGGGGCCAGAAGAGAGAGACTCCTCCACGGTGGAGCTGGGGTACGGAGAGACTCCCCCACAGGGGAGGCTGGAGAGGGAGAGACTGGAGACTCTTCCAGGGGCCAGCAGAGGGAGCGACTCCCTAGGGTGGGGGGTGGACAGAGAGGGAGAGACTCCCCCTGGGGTGGGGCTGGGCTAGAGAGAGACTCCCTTGTCAGGGAGAGTTATGGTTTTGTACGCCCATTGGAGCAACACAACACACATTGGTGGTGTGACCGGCTGCCCCCAGTACATACCAAGAGACTGCCCCAAACTATAAGGAGAAAGGAGCTGGAGGCTCCCTCCTGGCATCAGGTTTTGAGTCTCACTGTCGCTGCTTGGGATGGAGGATGTTGTTGGGGTGTGTTTCAAAGTGACATTTACCTTTAGGAGCCTTGTGCCATTTAAAAAACAAATCAACAAAGGCCTCTCTCCATCCAGTTTTCCTCAGAGCTCGTGATACCAGCTCTGGTTGGTTTGCTGCAGAAAGGGAGAGTTTTTTAATAGAAGCCAGTAACTTCACGGCACTGACCCCCACTAAAAATGAAGGAAGGTGCCTCTACAGATGTAGTAAACTAGGAGATGCCCAAACTGTTTAGCTGTGGGACCCATGTGGGCAATTTGCCAGGAGCCCAAGTGGCACCCCAAATATGCATAAAACAGAACAGACAGCCAGGTTGTCTGTAATATGCAGAGGTGTGGCCTGCAGGGTTGATTGATTTTAGCATGCTATCCTCTGGCTTGATTTGTGTCGTGGCATTGAGTATATAGACATACGGGAGATCCAGGCTTAGGTAATGACAAGAAAATGTTGATTCAGGTATCCCACTCGCAGAATAGGTGACTCCTTGCCTAGTTCATGACTGCCTAGAAGGAACTGCTTACACACTTACAGGGCTAGATGTGATCATGCAGAAAAGTCACAGAGATATCAAGCTCTAAAAGAGACAGACATCCTATAGTGTACTCACAAATAGACCTTCACTACAATCTAACCTGTTGCCACTTGCATCAAGATAGAAAATTGCATGTTAGAACTTGTAGTTTTCAGGTTGCACATGTGTATTAAGTCTACGTTGTAGAATCATGTGACACACATTTTAACCACCATGCAAAAAGAGTTAGTTAAAAAATGTGGAAAAAAATAAAACATTTTAGTGTTTTCTTTGTTTAAAGAAACTGCAGTTTTTTTCTGCTAGCCCCCATGTTTAGATCCATTCTGTAAGAAAATTTAAAGTATGGCTCTACTCTGAACAATTATTCTGTAAAACTACCATTGTGACGTTCTGTAATTGTCTGTCTCTCATGCACTTCCATCTAGTATTTGCTGAACTTACAAGTAAAACAATTATTTTTCTTATTGCCAGCTCTGGAAGCTTAGTCTGAAAGTCAAGTTGGGTTCTTTCTGGATATCGTATTATCACCAGTTTAAAAATTCTGCAATTAGAGCTTGATTAGTTATTTTGTTCATGTGGATGGCAAGGTAGGATCATGCTCAAGTTACTTGCACACCTATAGTAACTCAGCTGTACTAGCAGGAGTAAAAAAAGTAGTATTTTTATCAGTAATGTAAATAGATATAACTGAGGAAGAAGATGACCTTTAACGTAATCATTTTTTTTACCATAACTGCACTGTAATAATTTTTTCGATTTGTAGGGAAAAACCTTTTTGTGACCCAAATAACATCTATATCAAAATAGAATTCTTTTTATCACCCAGTGTTTAGAAAATTGTGTTTGTGCACGCACGCATGTGTGTGCGCACACACACACGAAGTCCTTAATCCTCGAACAAGTTGTGCACAAGTAGATCTCACTGACATGGATGCAGGGGTCTGCTTGCATAGAACAATTTGAAGGACTTGGATCTTTAAATCAAGAATAAAAGGTGTAATGAGAAGATGGAAATGTCATAAGAAATCATCTATAGAAAACTCTCAACTAATTAAAATGTCTTGGGAAGCTGCAACAAATAGAATTGATGGACATACTGTCACTTTTTAAAGGATAGGCATTTTTACAGTGTGTATTTTTAAGATGCAGTGAAGGTATGAGACCACCGAGTATATCTTTCCTCAACATTCTAAAACTCCAGCTTATACCTTCATATTTTTGTAATGCTTCCTACGTTTGTTATTGTGACCTTTTACCTCATGTGAAATTGAGCTATATTTGTGTCTAAGGGTGACACAAAATGTCAGGAGAAGCTTGTCATTGGTTAGAATGCAGCAAAGGTTTAGTTTTGGGAAGGTGATGGGGGATGACATTGGAATGCTTGTCACTACTGAGTTGTGTAATGTAAGGGACATGAGGTTTGGGGGCACTTTGCACTCTGAGCTGCTTTTCTTGGGTGCCAGTGGGAGAAGGGAGCTTCTGGGATTGAGGCATCTCCATGATTTCTGCTTGCCTTTCCCCACCCCACCTCCTCCAAAAAAAAGAAAGGAGAGCATATTTCTTCTGTTTGTTTGTCCTCCCCTGCTGGGGGAGTGGTACTGGTTTTTGGAAGCTCTGTCTTGGAGGAGTGGATGTCTTTGAGCTCTTTGACTCTATCTTGGGACCTAGCAGCTCCTAAACTCTGTTCCTCTGCACACCCTACTCTGTCTTTAATTCATGTTCACCTTTAGATACTCCTGGGGGAATTCTGCACCACTGCACGTGTGCAGAATTCATTTCCCCGCAGATATCTTTGCTTTCTCGCAGAAAAGTGATTTTCTGACAGGGAAGCAAAGGGAAGCTGCAAGAGCAATCATGCACCACTCCCTAGCTTTGCAGGTACATCATTTCAGGTACCCGGAAAAGCCAGTGAAGCGGTAAATCACCACAGGTCTGGAGACACCCCAGCTTCTAATCCTGGCTGGGCTGGAGGCAGTAGAGAACGGGATTTCCTCTTCCCCTGCAAGAAGTCGCTAGGGCTGCGTCAGACCTACCCCCAGAAGCCTCCCCCAGCTGCAGGAAGTTCAGCATCCTCCCCTGCTTCCTGCCCCCATTGCTCCTCAGCTGTGTGTGGAGGGGTCACTGTACAGGGAGCTGCTCCCCCATCTGCCCAAGCCCCATGCATCCAGACCTCCCATACCCAGACACTCCCACCAAGCCTCACCCCATACACCCAGAACCCCCCAGCCCTCCATACCCAAACCCCACCTCATTGAACCTCAACCCCTGCACCCGGATCCCCCGTACCCAAACCCCATTGCTTCTGGACCCCCCATCCCTGCACCCATACCACCCCCCACTGAGCTCCCTGCACTCAAACCCCACTCTGAGGAGCCCCACCTCCCTGCACCACCCTGAGCCCCCACATCCAGACCCTCACCCCACCGACCCCCAACTAGATGCACCCAGACCCCACCAAGCCTCACTCCCCCAGCACTGGGATTCCCCTGCTGAGATCCCCACACCCAGACCCTTCTGCTGAGCCCCAACCACTTTCACCTGGAAGCCCCTGCAGAGTCCCATTGCCCCTGCACCTGGAACCGCCCTAACGAACCTCTGTGCATCCAGATCCCCCCACACCTAGATCCCCCACTGAACTGCCTGTACCCAGATTGTCCCACAGAGAATCCTCACCAAGCCTCACTCCCCCAGCACTGGGATTCCCCTGCTGAGATCCCCACACCCAGAGCCTTCTGCTGAGCCCCAACCACTTTCACCTGGAAGCCCCTGCAGAGTCCCATTGCCCCTGCACCTGGAACCGCCCTAACGAACCTCTGTGCATCCAGATCCCCCCACACCTAGATCCCCCACTGAACTGCCTGTACCCAGATTGTCCCACAGAGAATCCTCTCACCCCACACTTGGATCCCCTCACACTGAGCCCCTGCACACTTGGATCCTGCCTGGTTAAACCTGCCTGCCCCATGCCTGGCGCAAAGGGACAGGCCCCTAGGGTATTTCTGGGGCAGGCCCAGCCTTGTGCTGTGTCAGGTTCAGGTGCAGCCTGAGTGCTGGGAGTGGGGAAACTGAAGGCTGATTTCTCACCTTCATGCAGTCAGTGGCCTGTGCTCCCACCTGCCATGCTGGAGCCTCTGCATTTATTTATCGACAAATAAAACTTGCAGAATTTTACAGTATTGCGTGCAGAATTTTTAATTTTTTGGCACAGAATGCCCTCTGGAGTATTTAGAGCACTTGGAATTCTGACAGTGATTCAGTCATCCAGGGAATAAGTTCTGATTAGAATGGGGAGAAAATACCCAGTAATAAATAAAAGAAAGATAGAAACAAAGCTCTCACTCGATACGGAGATATTGAAAATTGTCTCCGCTATTACAATAATGTCAGCCTTTGTTGCCCATCTCTCCCATTCTGCCCCTTATGCATGGTTGGAGCTTCCTGTGAACATCCACAAAGAATATCTTTATCCTTTTAAAAACCCCTCCTTAAAACTCTCTTTTGCCATGATGCCTACAAAACAATCTTGACATCAGTTAGGCAGCTGGTGTGCTGATACTTCAGGTTGTCATGCTGCCCAATATTGTCTCATTGGTTCCTTCTGCTCCTCTGTCTGTCTCACGGTATTCACCTCTTGTAACTTATACTTAGATTGTAAATTCTTTGGACAGTGATTGTCTTTTTGTTCTGTGATTGTACAGCACCTACTACAGTGAAATGCTGGTCTGTAACTGGGACTCTTGGGTGCAACTGCAATACAAATAATAAATAAGACATCCACAGTTTCTTAGTATGGCAGCATACCCACCGTACCATCTTCATTTCTAACAGAGAGTCAAATATTACTGTTTTTTACTTATTGAGTACCATCGCTGTGGAGACTGTAACAGTCTAAGGGTATGTCCACACTATGAAATTAGGTCGAATTTATAGAAGTCGAATTTTTAGAAAGAGATTTTATACAGTTGATTGTGTCTGTCCCCACTTAAAACCATTAAGTCAGCGGAGTGCGTCCACAGTACGAAGGCTAGCGTCGACTTCTGGAGTGTTGCACTGTGGGTAGCTATCCCACAGTTCCCGCAGTCTCTGCCGCCCATTGGAATTCTGGGTTGAGATTCCAATGCCTGATGAAGCAAAAAACATTGTCGCGGGTGGTTCTGGGTACATGGCGTCAGGCCCCCATTCCCTCTCTCCCTCCGTGAAAGCAACGGCAGACAATCGTTTTGCGCCTTTTTTAATGGGTTACCCGTGCAGACACCATACCACGGCAAGCATGGAGCTCGCTCAGCTCACCGTATGTCTCCTGGGTGTTGGCAGACGTGGGACTGCATTGCTACCCAGCAGCAGCTCATTGCCTTGTGGCAGCAGATAGTGCAGTACGACTAATAGCCATCCTCATCATCTCCTGGGTGCTCTGGCCGGCCTTGGTCAGGTCAGTTGGGGTGCCTGGGCAGACATGGGTGCTCCTGGCAGATCTCGGTGAGGTCTGTCGGGCGTGCGTGGGTGGACATGGGTGCTCTTATTCAGCAAAGAATTAGGCATATACATAATTTCATTCTCATAGCTTGGGGGCTTAAATGTAAAGTGTCATTCTTACCCTAAGTATCATACTATCTTCATTATATTGTTAATGATGAAAAATGTTTCTAAGGTTAATTATTTTTTTATGATGACTTAACAGGTTGGAATTCGAGGGCTGGACATAGTTGTATTGGGGGTAGAGAGAAAGTCTGTTGCCAAACTTCAGGAAGAAAGAACTGTGAGAAAGATTTGTGCACTTGATGATCATGTCTGCATGGCTTTTGCAGGTATTGGTTATAGAGTTATTGCTCTGTGGAGCATCTTATTGCAGATATATGTTGTGCAAGAGGGCTTTAAAGACCTGTTCCTGGATTTAAGAAAAAATATTACTGAGGTGGTCAGGATAGTTCAGGAGACTGGTAAGGCTTTTGCTTTTACATCATAGGTTTAAATGTAGTGAACAGAAATCACTGCCTAATGAAGTTTTTTTTTCAGTGGCTGGTGGGAAATAATTTGGTCTTTAGAAAATTCTGAACATTTAGGGATTTTTGATTGACGCTTTCCTTTTTTTCCCCTCTTGTTCAGGTAGATATGTAGATCGTTAGCAGTGATGTGGCCAGTTGGAGCAGCAAGCTGCCTGTAGGCTGGCTGCACTAGCCTTAAACAGACCAAGGGAGAAGAGAACACTGTACCTGTGACTCCATCCCCAGAAAAAGAAATTGGGTTAATATTGGGGAAAACCCCATAAATATGGGGGAGACATTATGGGACTGGAAAAGCACACCTATCCCATTCTTCTTTCCAGGGGCAGACACAGTGATCACTTTCTGAGGGTAGGGAGAGAAATACCCTCCCATGCATGAGACAGCAACGGGGGGGAAGGTGCACGTGTGAACACCTGTTGCCCGCCCCCCCCCCCCCCCACTCCACCAAGGACTAGCTTGGGGGACATTTAGACAAACATCCCCCTTCAGAAAAGGTTGGGGGAAGAAGAACTCAGCGGTTTGTTTACATGTTTGCAGCTTCCCATTCCCTCCCTATTATTGCTTGCAGGGAGAGAGAAGAGAGGGGACCACAGAGAGACCCTGGAACCCCTCTTTTTAGGCTGTGGTGGTGCTCCTTTCAGCTCTCCCTTCCCTTGTTTATTTTAGGGCTACTGTAGCTTCTACAGCCTGCTCCTGCTAGGCCTGAGTGCCTCTGCTGATTATGTATGAATCTGCCTGAACAGGGGTGAGACTTCTGCCTGCAGAATAGAAGGAAAAGGAAAGGATTAGTTAGGGGTCCTTAAAATTTCAAAACACATGCACGCGCATGCATGTACATACACAGAGCATAATTAGTCATTTACACATCCTAGCCCTTACTGTTATAAAAAGTGATAAATGAATAAAACTGCTAGGGTTTTTATGGAAGATTCAGCAAGAACTCCTTAAGATGTCCATTTGCCTCAGTAGCTCTTTAGTGCCCACCTTGCTGCACCATTTTTTGTATGAGAAAAGAAGAAGTGTAATGTAATTAGGTCCTGAAACACTTGTGCATGTGTTTAATATTAAGCACACAAGTGCCCTCATTGACTGTGTTTGCAGGATTGAGGTCTGAGAGATTAGAGTGGAAAGACATTTTGAAGAGGACATAAGGGTGTATTTTATTCTAGAAGAAGGTGTAACAAGTTTTGGTTGTCACTTGACCCACTTGATAATTTAAAGATACACTGTCAATTTAAATTTAGCTTCTGTCTCAAAATGTCTTGCCTACTACTGTTACAGGCAACATGGAAGATTATTATAACTAAACAAAGTAGAGAACAATATTTTTTTATCTTTATTTTTTTCTTTCCTTCTCAGTTTGTTTGCTTTTGTGCAATTGACCATATTTTGTGAACGGTCAGTTTGCCTTCTGTAGTCAGTCTCAGAAAGAGGAAAATGACTTTCACAAGGCAAGAGGGAGAAAAAAAAGTAACTCTTCTTAAATGATACATGTATTGTTTCATAAAGAAAGAATATTCACTGTGTTGTAACATATTTGATAATTATGATTATGTAGGTCTGACTGCTGATGCTAGAATAATAATTAACAGAGCCCGTGTGGAGTGTCAAAGCCATAAACTTACTGTTGAGGATCCAGTCACAGTAGAATATATAACACGCTATATAGCATCTTTAAAGCAGGTAAGTATCTTACTTAGTGTTGTTAGTTTTCTGTAGGGGCCTTTAGATAACACTATTTAAAAACAAACAAGCTGCTTCTATTTCACAGCAGTAGAAATAGAAGCCAGGTGTGAGATTGCCAGTAAAAATGGGAGCCTGGTTAAATTTTCTATCACTGGACTTTTAAGAATGCAAATAGTGTTTGAAAGAAGTAGTACTAGTATTTTCCACAAGAAAATAGTTTCCATAATTAGCTTTTCTGTTTGGCGGACCACCTGCAAATATCGCTCCTGCTCTACTCTCATGTGCTGTGTCCCTTTTATACATTTCCTACCTTATTTGGAAATGAAAATATATTATTGTATAACAAAAGTTAAGATAAAACAAATTTAAAAAAGCTTTTTTCAGATCAGTACTAGATAGTGTGAAGTGCTAAATTTAATGCAGATCCTTAATCTCAGAATGTCCTTCTTTCTTCGTGGAATCTTCTTCTTCTGTTCTTAGTGGAACAGTTAGGAATAGTCTAATCAATCATATGTCTATGGGGAGATGATTGTTGAAATCTGCTAATAACAGTACCCTGCACCCTGTTTGCAATAGCTTCATATGTAAAAATATTTAAGCAATATGTTTATTTTTAAATTCCTACAATTAGTTTAGACCTTGTTGAGAATAGTGTACTTCGTGTCTCACTAAAAGCCAAATTCTGCCGTCAGTTACTCCTGTGCAAACTTCACTAGGGTTGTGCCAGTATAACACAGAGCAGAATTTAATCCCAGAATATTTAGGAATTGCATTCTCCCAGTGGTATGTTGTTATTAATAATCAGTTATAGGTTAAATTGCTGTGTAGAGTCTTTTCAGTTTTATGCTGTTTCATATGTACTAGACTGATAACATTCCATGAAGGTAAAAATGTTAAAACTTTACATCTTGTTCATAGCGCTATACACAGAGCAATGGACGTAGACCTTTTGGTATTTCTGCCTTGATTGTGGGCTTTGATGATGATGGTAGTCCCAGATTGTATCAGACAGACCCATCTGGTACATATCATTCTTGGAAGGTAAGCTCCAACTTAATTCATAAATTGTATTATCTTAGTGCAAATATTTGCATAGGCAGTGTATCTCAATGAAGTCTGATGTTGCATGTTGTACTATGGATTCACATAAACAAAGAATCTGTTCCATGCTTTCAGAAGGCTAGTTACAGTTGTTTGAGCACCAAAGCTAATTGAGGGTACGTTTACACTGGAATAAAAGACCCACAGCCCAGTCATGGTTGACCCAGGTCAGCTGACTTGTTGCAGGGCTAAAAATTGCTGTGTACATGTTCAGGCTCAGGCTGGAGCCAGAACTCTGGGCCCCTCCCTCCTCGCAGGGTCCCAGAGCTTGGTCTCCATCCCAAGCCCAAACATCTGCATAGCCCCACGGCCCAAGGCAGACGAACTGGGCTGGCTGTGGGTGTTGAATTACTGTATAGATGTAGCCTTAGCCTTATAGTTAAAGAATTAGTGAATCCACAGCAAAAATAAGAAAATAAATTTAAAATATATACAACAGCAAACATATTGCATGGTGATTGTGTGTTCGGTGTCATCGATTATGAAGAGATAACCTCTCCACAGTGAATGTTGAAACCAGATTCCATTATAAAGCCCTATTTCAAACTCCCCCTCTCCTTTTAAACTTTCCCATGGGAAAACGGAGGCATGGCCTGAAAATTACCATATCTACTCTGAGAGCAAAAGAGCATACAGGAGAGATATTTAAAGACAGTGGGTCCAACCTTATGAGTTACGGGTCATTTAAAAACTACCTTACTTTAAATTTTATTTGTCTCCCTTTTGCTCAAAAACAGCTTGTTACTACTCTTTCAAGCTTTCTATTTCCATTTATAGGCATCACCTAGCCCCTTCTCAGCTGGGTCTGATAATTGCACAGGACTGCTGGCCCCAAGCCCTTAAATGGGGAGACCACCCTGTTATAGCAAGGAAGTCCTAGCGTGGTCAATTTATGGAAAAGGGGGTTCTGGCGTGAAAAAGCTTGAGAACCATTGTTCTAATATTTTCATGTCCTCAGGTGTTACAAGACCTAGGACCACTAACGATATTTTCAAAGTGCTTCAAATTAACAAAGTTTATTATGCTGTTTTGTCGTCTTTCCTTAAAAACGTAAAGGCCTGGAAATCTTGAAAATGTTGTTGTATTCCACATGGAAACAGTGAAATAAAGTCTTTTCTGCCAATATTGCAAAACCCAAATCACATGTTACATAACGATAGTGGGGGAATTGCCAAATCAGTATCGTGTGAGAAATGTGTGGAGACCAAATGAGTTTGATTTGGTAAAACAAATTAATGTACATCATGGTGAGATACATAACTGTGTGTCTTCTACAGGCAAATGTAATTGGTCGCAATGCTAAAACTGTGCGTGAATTTTTGGAGAAGAATTACACAGAAGAAGCTATAGCAACTGACAAAGAAGCTATCAAATTAGCAATAAGAGCTTTGCTAGAAGTATGTAATCCAGTAGAATGCATACAATAAATGCTTTCAGAAAAGCTTGTTTTTCTTCGTCTTGTAACGTACTTGTAATGATGTTTTTGTTGTATACTAGGTTGTCCAATCTGGTGGAAAAAACATTGAACTTGCAATAATAAGGAGAAACCAACCACTGCAGGTATGAGTTATTGATTACATAGAAATAAAATGATGATTTCTATACAGAATCTTCTGACAAAAATTATTCCAGTTTACATCTGTGCATTTCAACTGGATGTATAAAGTGTCCCTAACATCTGGTAAAACAATATTATGTGACTTCTGTTGTGTCTCTCTAGATTGATTCTGTGAGCTATGTAGTAACTGCTGATAATTTATATTGTACTATAAGAAGCTGTGTTGGGAACATTCAGTGCAGGAAACTGTTCTGGGAACATATAAAAACATACTTTTCTGGTTTTTGTGTGGGAGACATTATCACGTAGCTTACATGGCGAGACTCATAGTAAATTTTGATATTGTACAGTTCTAAAGAAGCATTTTTGCAATTTAATATTTCTGGCAAACATTTTGTGACCCTTTTTGTAGCTGCTATTACAGTGGAAAAGACAGACACCAGGCATGACAATTAAAAAATAAGATTTCCATAGAGTATTTCCCTTCTTTTGGAATAAACAACTCCATTCTTCTTCATATATTACCCGCATAATAGATAAGTGTACATAATCTCTTTAAGCAATTTTAACTGTTTGAGTTGTCTGGAATTTTAGTAAGATGTGATATTTAGTACTTAGTCCCAAATGACAGAATTTCTTTGGAATATTGTAACTTCATTATTTCTGCTGCATCTGAAAGAAGTCCAGTTCTAGAATAAATTCTTGGCAAGATTGTCAAAAGATTTTGACTTTTAAAGATAAATGGTGGTGTACACACTCTTGGAATAAACGCATCTTCTACAAACTGCATTCATCATTACACCCTTAGCAGTGTATCACCACTTCCTGCAGTAACACCCACATCCTGTAGACTCAAGTTCAGTAAACCTTTACGTCCATACATTGCTGTCGTGAATTCTGTATGCACAGGGTGAATTGAATGATGAATTGTCAATTGAAGATAGCTGGCTAGAATTTTAGCCAAAATTACATATGTGCTTTATCGAAGATAGAGTGATAGGAAAGACACCCTGTTAGGACAGGTTTATTTCTGTGAAGCCCTGGAGAGGTGGAGGTGATAGAATCATAGAATTTAAGGTCAGAAGGGACCATTATGATCATCTAGTCTGACCTCCTGCACAATGCAGGCCACAGAATCTCACTCACCCACTCCTGTAACAAACCCCTAACTTGCGTCTGAACTACTGAAGTCCTCAATTCGTGGTTTAAGGACTTCAAGGTGCAGAGAATCCTCCAGCAAGTGACCGGTGCCCCATGCTGCAGAGGAAGGCAAAACCTCCCCAGGGCTTCTACCAATCTGCCCTGGTGGAAAATTCCTTCCCAGCCCCAAATATGGTGATCAGCTAAACCCTGAGCATGTGGGCAAGACTCACCAGACAGACACCCAGGAAAGAATTCTCTGTAGTAACTCAGATCCCACCCCATCTAACATCCCATCACAGGACATTGGGCATATCTACTGCTAATAGTTGAAGATCAATTAATTGCCAAAATTAGGCTATTCCATCATATCATCCCCTCCATAAACTTATCAAGCTTAAGTCTTGAAGCCAGATATGTCTTTTGCCTCCACTGCTTCCCTTGGAAGGCTGTTCCAGAACTTCACTCCTCTGATGGTTAGAAACCTTTGTCTGATTTCAAGTCTAAACTTCCTGATGGCCAGTTTATATCCATTTGTTGTTGTGTCCACATTGGTACTGAGCTTAAATAATTCTCCCTCCATGGTATTTATCCCTCTGATATATTTATAGAGAGCAATCATATCTCCTCTCAGCCTTCTTTTGGTTAGGCTAAACAAGCCAAGCTCTTTGTCTCCTTTCATAAGACAGGTCTTCCATTCCTCGGATCATGCTAGTAGCCCTTCTCTGTACCTGTTCCAGTTTGAATTCATCCTTCTTAAACATGGGAGACGAGAAAGTGCATCAACTCAGCAGGAGCTCCCCAGGACACTTACTTCTGGGAATGCAGGGGAAATGAGGACACTGCCTAACCCTTTGAAAGAGCAGGGCATGTACTTCATAGATCAGGGGCAGCCAAACTGTGGCTCATGAGCCATGTGCGACTCTTTTACAGTTAAAGTGCGGCTCGCGGAGCCCCCTAAGTCCCCCCATTCTCCACCTATGGGGTGATGGATTATGGGCTTCTCCCCAGCTGGGGGTTTTGGGGCTTCAGCCCTGTGAAGCGTACCTGCCATGGCTCGGGGCTTCAGCAGGAGCAAGGCTGAAGCCCCGAGCCCCATCAGGTGCCTCATGCAGGACTAAAGCCCTGAGCCCCAGCAGTTGCTCCCTGGCTCTCGAACTTCTGAAGATTGTCATATGTGGCTAGGAGGGTCAGTAAGTCTGGCCATCTCTGTCATAGATAAAAGTGGCCCTTAGTATTCTTCCGTCTGTTATGAGGGTGGTAGAGGCACCCTCGCATAGACATTTTTTTCCCCCAGTCCATAAACATGGCTTTAATTCTTATATTCGCTATTTTCTTTCAGTGATATTATATGGATTTCTAACACTTGTAACCAATCTGAAGGTTTGGGTAACAACATATTTATAAAGAACTAAGAGGGTTATTAGATAAACCATTTGCCTTTAATTTCTGGTAAGAGTCTATTAGGATTTGGTTCCAGCTGGAGGTCTGAGTGAGTGTCCACAAAACTCATTTAAATTGCTAGTGGACAGCCCAATAAAATGAAATCCTCACACACAATTTGACAGAATTGCCAGTCTGTACTGAAGAAGCCTAGGTTCATGCCAGTATAGTCACTAAATTGCCTTCTGCCATTAAAGTTGTTACTAGAGTAGCTCATGGTACAGCTATCTCATAATATCTGGCCTGTGAATTTACTTATAAGGAAAATAATCATCCCTGGCAGTCTCTTAATCTGCCAGGTTTATAAATGCAAATCTGCATAAACACACACCTTGACTTCAAAAAATTAACACAGGTTTGGTTCTCTCAATTTGTGTCTCAGATGGGAGCTTTTGAAACTTTTTTTTTTCAACACTTCAGGAGTAAGTTTTGGAGCTGTGAAATGTAATTGAATCTGTGGATTAAAAAAGTGTAGATGGAATCCATATTAGTTACACTTTATACAATTCTTTGTCCTATGTTCCATTTCAGATTTTTAGTGCAAAGGACATTGAATCACAAGTTGCAGAAATAGAGAAGGAAAAAGAAGACTCTGAAAAGAAAAAGAAGAAAAGTATTTAAATCCCAGATAAATGCTGATGGCTGTTTATTAAAATGTTTCTGAAGTTTTAACAAATACTAGCTGACCACAATATTTACAGCTGCTGAATAAACTTGTCTCTTTCATTATCAAATACTCTAGTTTTCTGAATCCTGTCACAATTACAAATGTGCTGGTCCTAATGTGCTTGTATTTACTATTGTGTGCAAACAGGCAGGTATTTGCACCTTACCATTCCTCCATTTATTTATTGTTTACATATTCAGCATTAAAAGGCATTGTCAAACTTCCTGTAAGCAAATTATCTCCAAACTATTGGTGAATCTCTGTACAAGATATAAAAGGTTTCCAAGTGTTCAATTTTTTCTTATGTAACTTTTTGCAAGTTTGATAAGTTTGTGTTTACATAGTATTACTGTTACATATGGAATGCAAATTAAGAATTCAATAAAGTTCTGATTTATGTTTCGACTGTTTAATTTATTGTGTTGCATTTTCCAAAGCATGTTGCACTGCTAGTCTTTCTCTATTGTGGATGGCACAACACATTGAATTGCACCACTGTTTGAATGATAGAAACACCTTTCTCCTATTAGTGGATTGTACAAGATAGTGCATGGTATTTTTCTTAATGTATTTGTATTATATTCAGCTTTCAAAATTTTAACTGACAAAGCCTATCATTTATTGGACCAACTTCTGTTCTCCAACAGAAGTTGGTCCAATAAAAGATATTACCACACCCATCTTGTCTGCCTAATATCCTGGGACTGATATGGCTACAATTGTACTGCATACAAAGCCTATCGTGTTAGTACTCCACTAAATATATTTGTCGCACAGTTAAACATTTTAGTGCAGTGCACCCCTTCTCAGGGGTATTTTTTAATTGAATCTCTCCTACCCTTGCAGCCTTTCAGTTGCCTAGTTTCTCTCTCCCTACCCATTATTATTTTTCTTCCTCTCTCTTCCTTCCTTTATCTTATCTCTCCCTCAGTTTCTCTCTTTACTTACTCCCCTGTCTTACTCCAACGATCCTATTCTCATTCTTCTCCTGCACTCTAACTCCAACCAGTTAGGTTCCCATGACCTTGCCACCTCACCGGGCCACTTTAGGGGCTGTATTGGCTGGTTATGGGTCTCTGGTGCAGCAAGAATTGCAGATATACCTCCAGGGAGGCTTTCTGCTGGTAAGAGCAAGCTGCCCTGAGATACATCTATCTTACCTCATGGCTAAATCAAGCTCCTGATGATTATTATTGGTAACTAAATATTTTCTAGCAAGCTCTTTAGAATATACTTTTTACCATGCATTCTTGTTGTATTTTTAGACATTTTATATTAATGTAAAGTTTCATTGTATTATGCTGTTCTTTTATTCTGATATTTATGAAGATAATATGTAAATTTAAAATATTGTTTGATGTCTACAAGCCTGAATGCTCAGAAGAGAGGTCCACCCATATAAAAGGTCAGCTAGCACAAGAGGACAGAGGAGGAGATGCAGGTGAGGGGGTATTTGTGACATCAGGTGTGAATTTCAAAAATGCATCTACAACTGCACACCTAATATGCTAGTGTGATTACTGAGGTTGTGCACGAATAGCCAGTTATGCACCCAATTTGCCATTTGCATCAGTAAATACATGATTTGCATTTACAGTTGTAACTGCACCTTCATTGCTTAATCTCTTCTCTCACTCTTCTCCTTTCCAGACTAAATAGTCCTAGTTTTTTTTCTCTGTTTATATAGCACCTCCTTTTCCTTCCTGACTCTTTCTGCTTTGCTTGCTGTCTCTTTTGGCAATTCATCCTGAAGAGCTCAAGTTCTCTGGTGTGAAGTTATGCTGCCAGTTTAATGCATTTGGAATGCTGATAAATCTAGTCACGATCATTTAATTCTTTCCATGAGAATATAATTTTAATTTAACTAGTGAGATTGATTCCTCAAATTCATTTCCAATTGTTGCAATTATGTGAATGAATAAAATGGTCAGCAAGCCTCCCTCATTTGAGATGAATTTTAAGGCAAGTATTCAAAGTTTCTCACTCTGACAAAGAATTCCTGTGTTCAATTAAAATTATAAAATGTAACTTTGTTTTCAAAGGGTCACTGTCAGATTAAAAATCTTACTTAAAATCATTTCCTTACCAGCGTTATAACCCCTTAGATTATTACTGAAATAATTTTAAGAATCTAGATTCCATACTCCTTACTATTCTGGATTACTTTTGCATTTCTTTCAGCTTGGTCAGTGGAGATTGGCTAATTAAACTATTGTTTGTTATAACTGAAATATTATCCATAAACCCAAGGATTAAATGACTAGCCAAGGTGAAAAACTGTTCCCCTACTCCCCTTGCAATTTAATGGAATAATCCAATTGTGTACTCTTCACAGATTGTTAACTCTCTCGTTACATAAAAAAAAAAACTTCCTAAATCTTTTTTTTTTCCCCTTCTGGAGTTCTCTCACTGTCTCCAGTCCCAATCATGCTATATTGTCATCAGTGTCACTTCCTCCATTACTTTCACTGTCATCAGGTACTTCTCTCTCTCTCATACTTCATTGTGTTCTCTATTTCCTTTTTTTTCTCCTTTCAAAAACTCTCTCTCATATTCATCTCTCTGCTTCACCCATCCATATCCACCTACTTCATTCTGGTCCATTCAGATATGGGTCTTTGGTAAAATTTCAAACATTTAATGGAGGATTAATCCTTCTAGCCAAAGAATGGTAGGTTGACCCTAAGGTACAGAGGCAATGTCTAAGTGACAAGCCTGCTCCACTGTGCACCTAAATTGCTGGAAAAGTAGATGTTACCCATGGACACTACCTGATGGTCTACTTTTTGTATCTACCTCTAGCTAGTCTCAGGTCACTGATAAATATTTATGCCCCACAACCCTTCTCATTGCAGGAAGGCAGAAGAGAATTCCTTCTCTGTTCCCGTCCCACCACAGAATCATTTTGCCATTGGGATGTGGAAGGTCTCACGCTACTCTACCTCTCCCCTGGCTCATGTGATGGAAGTGTCTCTGCTACTCTTTCCCTCACTCAACCTCTCTTTTAGACGACTCCTCTCCAGTGATTAGCGCCAGTGCCAACCTCATGTGCTGTTCAAAGCTTTTTCAATCAGCAATAGAGTGAAATTGTCCAAAGCTCTGAACAGAAATGGTAAAAGTTGCAAAGATTGTAGTTAGGTTTGCCAACCTGCTGCAAGGTGAAAACTATCAGTGTCAGCATGGAGCTGTCCATCTCCATGTTAGGAAAACAATACTGCATCCTTTTACACTCCGTTCATGTTTTGCATCGTTTTTGTATCAATCAAGACTAGCATTTGTTTTAATGAAAACTTAGATTCTGTGGATGCTAATAGAAGCTTTTCCAGGCAAGTGCCTACTTGCTGTGTTCAAGATTTTTCATGCCCCGATTAAAGTAATACTTTTCATTTCATTTTCAAGATCTTTACAAAAATGAGAGAGTCTCAACATGGAAATCATACATTTCTGTTTGAAAATGTTGCACCTACTATAGTTAAAGGAAACACCTACCATCACCAGGACAGAAGTCAATGAAAAGCATTTTAATAAATTGTTTACGTTGTGCATTTGATAACACTTTACATATGATCAATTTCACTGTTCTGGAAAGTAAGCCTTGATTCTGCAATCACTTATATTTGCACTTAACTTTATATGCATGACTTCCATGGCACTAACTGCTTGCTTAAAGATGATCATATGCATAAAGAAAAGGAGTACTTGTGGCACCTTAGAGACTAACAAATTTATCTACAGCTCACTTTATGCGCAAATACATTGGTTAGTCTCTAAGGTGCCACAAGTACTCCTTTTCTTTTTGTGAATACAAACTAACCGTGGCTGCTACTCTGAAACCTGCATATGCATAAACATTCACAGGATTGGGACTATGGCCCTAATCCTGCAACAATTTCATTTGTCAGCTTCAATTTACCACAGTGATGGAACTACTCACAGTAGTAAAGTATTGTTATTCCTATTAAACAGGCAATGGAAACTGAGGCAGAGACAGAAGAGGCATTCCACTCTGAAAAATTACATTTTGTCTCCTATTGACTTCCATAATAAAATATGCTTAGTTTACATGGGACAATGTTTTCATTTTTTTTCTGTAAATTCAACCTGGGATCTGAAAGTCAAGCTGGGTTCTTTCCTTCTCATTCACCAAAAATAGGCCACATTTTAGTCTTAAACATTAGTCCTGTAATGAGGTCAACCCAGGCAATCATTGTGGCATCAAGACCTTAGTTACACCCAGGTCTTCTGGAACAATTTGTATCGTGGGGGTGCTGAAAGCCATTGAACCAAACTGTAAACCCTGTATATGGTTAGTACCCACACTTCCAGCACCTGTGGTTACACCTCTGCAACTATTGTTTTTAAATTGTCCCCTCGATGACACTTCAATTGCTTTTACAGCATTTGCACAGGCATACACGACTGAGGGTGCCTTAGAAGAAATATAAACTAGTTCATTCCCTTTTATCTTTGTCGGTTCTGTAGTGGTAACAACTGTAAAACCTAGTTCCCATTTACTTTGGCGGGAGCAGAGAGGCGCTCACTACCTTGCAGGGTTTTTTTCATCCTATGTGACTTGCCCAAAGACACCCGTGGAATCTGTACCAGAACGCGATATTGGTTGAAGATGCTCTGAGTCTAGGAGAAAAGGAGTACTTGTGGCACCTTAGAGACTAACCAATTTATTTGAGCATGAGCTTTTGTGAGCTACAGCTCACTTCATCGGATGCATACTGTGGAAACTGCAGCAGACTTTATATACACACAGAGAATATGAAACAATACCTCCTCCCACCCCACTCTCCTGCTGGTAATAGCTTATCTAAAGTGATCATCAAGTTGGGCCATTTCCAGCACAAATCCAGGTTTTCTCACCCTCCACCCCCCCCCCCCCCCCCAAATTCACTCTCCTGCTGGTAATAGCCCATCCAAAGTGACAACTCTCTACACAATGTGCATGATAATCAAGTTGGGCCATTTCCTGCACAAATCCAGGTTCTCTCACCCCCTCACCCCCCTCCCAAAAACCACACACACAAACTCACTATCCTGCTGGTAATAGCTCATCCAAAGTGACCACTCTCCCTACAATGTGCATGATAATCAAGGTGGGCCATTTCCAGCACAAATTCAGGTTTTCTCACCCCCCCCCCACCCCTATACACACACAAACTCACTCTCCTGCTGGTAATAGCTCATCCAAAGTGAGAGTGTATTGTAGGGAGAGTGGTCACTTTGGATGAGCTATTACCAGCAGGATAGTGAGTTTGTGTGTGTGGTTTTTGGGGGGGGGTGAGGAGTGAGAGAACCTGGATTTGTGCAGGAAATGGCCCACCTTGATTATCATGCACATTGTGTAGAGAGTTGTCACTTTGGATGGGCTATCACCAGCAGGAGAGTGAATT